CTGATCATTAGAGAAATGGAAATCAAAACCACAATGAGATACCATCTCACGCCAGTTAGAGTGGCAATCATTAAAAAGTCAGGAAACAGCAGATGCTGGAGAGGATGTGCAGAAATAGAAATGCTTTTATACTGTTGGTGGGAGTGTAAATTAATTCAAATATCGTGGAAGGCTGTGGTGATTCCTCAAGGATCTAGAAATAGAAATTCAATTTGACCCAGTAATCCCATTACTGGGTATATACCCAAAGGATTATAAATTATTCTGCTATAAAGACACATGCACATGTATGTTTATTGCAGCACTATTCACAATAGCAAAGACTTGGAACCAACCTAAATGCCCATCAATGATAGATTGGATAAAGAAAATGTGGCACAAATGCACTGTGGAATACTATGCAGCCATAAAAAAGAATGAGTTCATGTCCTTTGCAGGGACATGGATGAAGCTGGAAACTATTATTCTCAGTAAACTAACACAGGAACAGAAAACCAAGCATAGCATGTTCTCACTCATAAGTGGGAGTTGAACAATGAGAATACATGGTCACAGGCAGTGGAATATCACACATTGGGGTTTGTTAGAGGGTGGGGGGCAAAGGGAGAGATAGCATTAGGAGAAGTACCTAATGTAGATGATGGGTTGATGGATGAAGCAAACCACCATGGCACGTGTACACCTATGTAACCAAATCTGCACATTCTGCATATGTATTCCAGAGCTTAAGGTATAATAATAAAAAAGAATAAAGTAATAAAAAGCATAGAGTAAAACTGCTGAAAATTAAAGATAAGTAGAGAAAATAAATCAGGTAGAGACAAATGGCTATTACTTTGAAAGGAACAATGAAAAAATTAACAGTTAAGTTTACTACAGAAATAAGAGAAGCCAGAAAAATAGAAATAAAATATGTAAAGTATTAAAAGGAAATAGCTGCTAATTTAGAATTCTATATCTAACAAATATTTTTTAGAGTAAAAGTAAAATAAAGTGACTTTCAGACAAATAAACAATTTATAACCCACAGATCTGTACTAAAGGACACATTACAATGTGTTCTAGTGAAGAAACAAACAGATCAATACCATATGGAAACTCAGAGATACAGGAAGGAATAAAGAGTAAAAGGATATGTGTGGAGTTAAATCTAAAACATTGATTCTCAAATTTCAGTGTAAATTAGAATCACTCAAAGGGCTGTGCAGAGACTTTGTGAGTCCCTGAATCTTAGGGAGGGTTTCTGATTCAGTATGTCAGGCATGGGAATTTATACTTCTAACAAGTTCTTAGGTAATACTAATGCTGCTGGTCTGGGACCTACACTTTGGGAACCACTGAGGAATATGGGTTGTATAAAAAAAGGTGGAGTTTAAAATTTATATTGAATCACAATCTACTCACATGTGAAAAATTATTTTGTGTGACAATGGTTGCCCTGTCCTGTAGGGAAAAATGATGATCTTTTCAATAAATAGTCTTCATAAATGGTACTGAATAAACAGGTTATTCATATATAGAAAAAAATTACTTGATGTCTTTCTCATGTTATGCACAAAACACAGTCCCGGTGAATTGCAAGTCTAAATGTGAAAGGCAGTAACAATAAAACTTCTAGAACGTATACTGGAGAATAAATGTCTGAGTAATTATGGGATATTCTAAGCAGGACCCAAAAAGTACTGTTCATAGGAGAAAACCTGAATTACTTAAAATATTTAAAATTATGTTGATTAATAGACAAGGCTAAGAGAGTGAGAAGAAAAAGCCAGGGACTGGGAGAAGACATTCACAACATGTACAACTGACAAAGGTTCATATTCAGAATCTATAAAGAAGCTCTACAATTCAATATTAAAGCAATCAATACCCCACTATAAACATCAGCAACATCTCTGAAATGATGCTTCAAACAAAGGATGTACCAATGGCCCAGAACAATGTGAAAACTTAACCTCATTAGTAATGATGGGAAAGCATACCAAAACCATAATGCAATAATACCCTGGTTCAAAATCAGAATGGATAAAGTTAAAATGATAGACAATAATAAGATTTCTGAGAACATGGCACAGTAAGAACACTCATCTATTGCTGGGGGATGGTGAAACAACCATTTGGGAAACAGCGTGGGATTATTTACTAAATTTGGAGGTGCACATCACACATGACCCAGAAATTTTCAATCCTAGGTCTCTCCATGTGCACCAAAAGACATGTATCAGAATGTTCATACATCATGATTCATAAGGGTTCCAAACTGAAAACAACCCAAATTTCCCTCCACAGTTGAATGGATACACATATTGTAACATGTGTATAAAAATGCAATTCTATGCATCATTACTGAATATGAGAGAACTACATACAACAACATGGTCGAATCACACAAAGATAATATTGAATAAAAGAGGTCAATTATACCATTATATGTGAATGATTACATTTAAGTTCAGAAACAGAAAAACTAAATTGTAGTTGTTTAGTTGGTAAAATTAAAGAAAACAAGGATTACTTTTAAAATAAAGACAGCATGGTTTCCTTTGTTGTAAAGAGGCCAGTATTTAGGAGGGGCTGGGAGGGGGCTTTCTGGTTGCTGACAATTTTCAGTTTCTTAACCTGGTTGGACACTTATATTGTGTTTGGCTTGTAATATAGAAGTGAGCTGTACATCTTTATATTGTGCCCCTTTTTGTGCATATATTTTATTTAACAATAAATGGAATAAAATGTTTTAAAATGTAAACTACTTACTCTATTCATTTTAAATTTAGCAGTAAACCAAGCTTTCCTTTCTAGTTGCTTGAAAACACCTGAAGCCCTTGATTTAATTATTTTTCCAATAATGCTTTAATTAATCCTTTGTTTAGTTAATTTATTCTCATATTCCAGTTCCTACATTACTTTGCATTAATTTGGCAAGGTAAATTAATATTGAATGAAAATCAAATGCTCTGATGTCATTTGAAAAAACACCTTGTTTAATTTTAGATGGCTTTGTATATTTATTTTGTTTTAAAAACCGTGTTCAAATGTACAAGTAGAGAAAGAATAATAGTATAATCACTAATAGTTTGTAAATATGATTTAAAAATCTTATATATACCTAACTGATATACTCCAACAATCCTACTGGGTGATAGAGACTGTTTCTATCTTATGTTTATATGTTAAAATAAATCTATTTGAAGCAATTCTATTATTGTAAATAATAAATAATAAAAATGCCTTCCTTCAATATTGATTGTAACATACACTGGGCCAGAAAAATAAATTTTATTTTATAAGTTCCCTTAAAAATATAGTCTAATATGTCCATCTCAAGGAACAAGCAATTGATTTTTCATCAAGGTGAAATATCTGAGTTTTAACTCTATTTACAGGCTAACAAGTTAGCTGGCTATGGTTCCATGGCAAACTCCTGGCTTAGAAATAGTTTCATGGAAAACTCCTGGCCTAGAAATAAAGGGTTTTGTCACTCAGGCATAGCGGGCAGTATGAGCATCTGCATAACTTGCACTGGCCACCTGAGCTCTAATTCCTACAGAGCTAAGAAGTGATACTGGCATAAACAGTGGGTGGCACTACAGTAGAGTAGCTCCTAGTTTAGGGAATTCAAATAAGCCTGCCTATCCTTTGGTCAGGAGAGAGATATCACAGCTTTCAAAGCTTTGTTTCAGATGGAGGTACTATCTCTATCTTCCAATATCTCCCAAGATTATTTACTGTACAAATACCCTTGAAAAGATAGTCTAGAAAAAAGGGCAGTTATAGTGCCTTGCTCATAAGACATGCAGAAACAGAACAGACGCAGGGAGAATTGTCTCTCCATGGTGGTGATGACTAAAACCTCCTCATACAGTTGATATGAACCATAAATTTTCTTCAACCTATAAAATATTAGACAAAATTTTTTTTTCAAAATATTTTAAATGAAAACCAAAAATTTACATTGCATTCGGAATGCTTGAGTCATAATCACTTAAAATCCTAGAAGGACCTTATATATAGTGCATATATATAACACACATATTAACACATGTATACACACTTAAGTAGTTTGTTTTCTGCCATCCCCATTTAAAAAGTATATTCCTTGAGAATAATGACTGTGTGTGTGTGTAATTTATTGTCTTATTCTGGTTCCCATATTAATTTGCATTAATTTAATTAATAAATGCTCTAGTTCTGCCATACAACCCCTTTCCTTCTTTCTTCTTGTTAACACCATCACTGTTAGAATAACAAGAAGTGTGCCTGTATTTTGAGGGTTCTTTTAGTCATCGAAACCGAAAATGAGCAGATAAGAAATGTCAAGTTAAGAACATGACAAAATGTGCCTATCTTCAAGACCACCTCCTATTCACAGAATCCAGAAAAATGCCCTACATCTAGTGGAACTCAGTAAATATTAGTTGCATTGAGTTAACGTTAACTTCAAATCAAGACCCCATTCTACAGTTTGTAAATCAAAAGTTACTCTTAGTAACATGCTCAGTAATACGTGCTGTGCTTTGGAAATAGAAAATATCCCTTTCCCTCAAATCCATAGATAGTCATCTTAAGTGCAAGGACTCTTGTTCATTTATGCAGATTTATACAACTGAAGGAAGGATGGTATGTGTTTCTAGAAATATTTGCTTTATTATAAGATATGAGTGAGGTGCCTTTTTTTTTCTTTTGAGAATTATGTTTTTTATTTTATTTTATTATTATTTGCCCCAGTGCTCATTTTCATCCTCTTCAACAGGAAGAGTGTATGGTTGAAAAACTGTTATTCATGTAAGTTCCTCCGGAGGCTTAATCATCAACACATTGCCTTGGAACCAGTCTGGTCTTTTCTAAATTAAATATCTGTGTCTACAACAAATGCAAAAAGTACAAAATGTTTCCGTACTCCTTCTACATCAAAATTGCCTCCTACAGGAACTAGAAGATGCATGTCAATGTGAATTACCGTCTGCAACAGCCTCTCTCCTGGCCGCTCTGGGGTCTTGCACACAAAGGGTGAGAGGGGCGTGGGGAGGCTGGAGAGCATCGCTGCCCCGCCTGGCCCGGCGACGCCCGCTCCGCAGCCTGCTGGGCAGTGAGGTCCAGGAGCACCCTAAACTTGGAGCTCGGGATATTTCCAGGCCACCCAAATTGCCGTCCTACCCCAGCGAGGCAGAGAGGCGCGGAGTGCGCGCGCGAGCTGAGTGAGTGCTTACGTCGCAGCGAGATCTGTGCTGGGATAATTAGAGAGGAGTTGGGCTGAGCCGAGTCCTCTTTTAGCAGCAGCAGCCGGAGCCGCCGCAGCAGCCCGGAGGGGCGCGCCTGACTCGGACCGCTCGAAAGAGCCCCCCGGAGAGGCCCGCGCGGCGCAGCAGCCGCCCCGCTGTGCCCACCGCCCGGCTGCTCCGGAGGGCGCACAAAGGCGGTGGCCGCCCGAGTGGCCTTCTCCACCCAGGCGTTCGGGTCCCGCTCCCCACCTTCTCTCCCGAAGGCAGAAATGGCAGGGCCAGGCGAGGACCTGGGACAGCGGCGGCTCTAGCCCTGCGATCCCCACCCCTGCTGCTGGGAGAGGCGGCGGGCTGCCCGCGGAGGATGTGGCCGCGGCCGCTCCCGAGCGCATCTTCGGCCTGGGTCCCCGCCGCCGCCCCTCTTCTCTGCTCCTTCCATCCCGCCCGGAGGAGTTGATGCCGCTGTCGCCGCCGCTGCCGCTGAAGCCGCGGCTGATGGATGCCTGGGAGTGTCGCATTGCTTAGCGACCCCGCCTCCGGGTTTGCTGGTAGGAGCGGCTGCTCTTGCTTCTTTCTTGCTTTGGGGTTTTATGGAAAAGATAAGGACATTTTTATTTTATTCTCCACAACGCCCTCCCCTTCTCGTTTTTGAAATGTGCGTTCCCAGAGAGATCCCCGATCCTCTACCTCCCCTTCCCCCCTTTTCCCCCACCTCGCAGCAAGTCCGTGGAAATGAAGGGCTAGAGGAAGGCAGAAGTTGGGGGTGGGGTTGGGGGAGCCCACACTGGTACCAACGCCACCAGAACCCCTACTGGTGCCTTATGAGATCACGATGTATCTCAGAGGGGAGGTGGGAAGGTGCGTTATCTGCAGAGTCTCCACCTAATTGGATCACAATAATCTTAAATAAATCCCACAAATATGCCTTTTAAAAATAGCTTCTTTGAATAAGTAGAGGGAGAAATAATCTTTCTCCCCCCTCTTTCTCTCTCTCTCTTTTTCTTTCTGGCAAAGATGATCTCTCTCCGCCCTGGAGCTCAGCGCTGAAGAGCTACCTTATTATTAATCACAATTTCCATCGCCACCCCTGGCAGGCGTATCCTTCAGTAGGGACCGCAGGAACATTCACAGTGCAGGGGCTGAGATGTGCGTGGGGGTTGTTTTCGTTATATCTTGGAAGAGAAGAGAAGAGGACAGTACCAAGATCGGAACCACCCGTGCCAGGTGGGATTAGGGGTGATTTGTTAGGAGAGGGAAAGGACAGGAAGAGGAGTGCGGATCCCTTCAGGGGTTCCCATCTCTTTAAAGGAAAGCGAAGAGGGAGCCAAACTGGGGTGTTGTATTTTAGGGGGCGGGAGAAGAAGTTTACATCCCCCCTCCCGGTAAAGCTGGGGGAAAGCAGGAGCAACAGGGCACTTGACTGGATACCAAGACTATTAATTTCCTGTAGGGGAGAGGAAACAGGCAGCAGGAGGCCTGGGGGCTGGAGTGTGTGGTGGTAAAGGCTAGATTTGCTTTGGGACAGTCAACTAGGGCTTCTGAGTGAAGGCTCTGGAACAGGCAGAAACAATGACTCATTTGCAAGCTGGACTCTCCCCTGAGACCCTGGAGAAAGCTCGCCTGGAGCTCAATGAAAACCCAGACACGCTGCACCAGGACATCCAGGAGGTGAGGGATATGGTCATCACCAGGCCGGACATCGGCTTTCTGCGCACGGATGATGCTTTTATCTTACGCTTTTTGCGGGCTAGGAAGTTTCATCACTTTGAGGCCTTCCGCCTCCTGGCGCAGTACTTTGAGTACCGGCAGCAGAACCTGGACATGTTCAAAAGCTTCAAGGCCACCGACCCTGGGATCAAGCAGGCACTGAAGGATGGCTTCCCGGGCGGCCTGGCCAATCTGGACCACTATGGCAGGAAGATTCTAGTCCTTTTTGCTGCCAATTGGGATCAGAGCAGGTAAATCTGAAACCCAAACGTGTATTCTCCTTTAACTCTCCCATTTTCCAGAATTTACCCCGAGTAGTCTCATGATTTTGTAGATTTGATATTTTTGTTTCTTTGGCTTGGAGAAAAGAGAAACGAACCAGGAGATGAGTTTTTGGTAGGCACTCTGGGAAGAGAGGAGGGCTTGTATTTTTACTTTTAAAACTTATTTCACTAACACCCATTTACTACTGCACCTTTAAGGTTCTACCTTAACCATGTTATTGCATCGAGATCTAAATTACTTAACTTGTAAATAAAGCTTCTAAATGTTTCACCTTCTGAATAAGTTTATTGGGCTGGATAAACTAGTATGAAAATGGGGACAACTTTTCCTCCTTCTTCCTAAAAAATTTCTTAAACTAGATCCATCATCATGGCCATCATCATCATCATCATCATCCTCTCTTTAGTACTGACTTTTTAAATCTTTTAAGAGTAGCCTGATGTTCGACCAAAAGCAGGTAGTTTTGTTGCTTGGGAACATCTCTGCTTGGTGATGTGTAGAAGAAGGAATAATATTATGTGTGTCCCTTCAATGAAAGGGAGAGTTGCACTCTCTGTCACTGAGGATGCCTGTCGACACTGAAAATGTACACTGACTGGTGTATGTGTTCTACACCTGCCACTAATCTAAAGAATCTGTTTCCTGTCTGATGTGATTTTTCATCTTTTGGAAGGAAGTGGAAAATGTTCAGATGTGTCAGTTGGTGGACTTTTTAAGCTCATATGCTATTTACTAGAGGAGACATAATATTCTTTTTATCTACATTATTATAGAAAAATGTAGACAATAACACTTCTCTATCCTCAATCAGAACTGATTTTTCAGACTGAAAGATGTGAGAAATTATAAAGGCTCTTGTGTAAGGTAGTTTCAGTTAAGTTCAAAGTTAAATATATTTCATGGAACTTAAAAATGCTACCAGAGCTATGAATCATAACAAGCTTCTTGTTAAAACATTGGTGTATTTTTAGTTCTGTGAATGGTGACTTTCAATGCATCTAGTTAGTTTAAATAATCTCTGGAGCCATTGTGAAGACATTTACAGTTACTGAGAGGTCTTGTAGGTCTTAGAGATTTCCAGATAGGTTTTTGAGTCTTGGTATCTTGGAATGCAAATTAATATTTTTAATTTTTTTCTCTCATTTTATTGTGGTTTATTTTTCCCTGTCATTCCAGGTTGAGAAACACTCTGATTTTTTTTTAGGTAAATAGAAAGACAGACTACTACCTGAAGACTCATAAAGCTAAGAAACTCATACAGTTAGCTATTGAAAGAGAATAGAGTTTTGTTACTTACTTTGGTCGGTTAATAGAGATCTTACTCTACTTTTTATCAGGTAGCTTAAAATTCTAATGAATTATGACATTTTATTCATTGACCACAGTTTTTGTTTAAAAATGTTTTTTTCATCATAGAAGTAAATTGTAGGGTCATGCAAACCAATGACTGTGAATAACAAAACTGAAAAATTTTACTCAAGGAAAAAACTAATATTCCATATGTCAGATTGGAACTTTGTTAATTGAGCTATAGTGAAATGGAAACTATATGGAAATTTTATATTTATATAAATCTTGAAGTCGGTTAGAGATATTATTATGGAGGCAGATTGCATTCAGAGAGGCATACATATACATCAGACCTATTTTCATTTATTTCTATAAGTGCACTAATATTCATAATAATTTGTAAACCTAATTAAGATGAAGTCACATAGTTTTCATGTATATGAGAAGGTAATAATTCTGAATTTATTAAAGACACTGTTTTAAAGTTGTCTATCTCATGCTTCCACATACAGGGCAGGTAACTAGTAATCAAATCCTCTTCCTCTGGAAATCTACGATGGAAAGGGAGTTAATAATTGGTATATAGAATTACATTTTATTAAACTTACACATAATCTTAAATACTAGAATGTTGTATATTAGAACAAAATGAGAAACTGTGTTCTGTAGAAATATCCTGTCAAGATGTCTAGATTTATGAATTCTATTTCTATGGTTGGAAATAAACAGGTATAATCAAGAAGTTATAGCACAACAAGGCAAAAAGGTATACAAATGATTTAGAGCTTAGACGAAATTTCAGTTAAGTATCTTAAAAAAAATAATTATCTCTCCCTCCCCACCTCCTGTTTATCCCAAATCTATATAACCTAATGACGGGGATTAGTGACAAACAGATCTGTCCTTTTGGCACCATCTATAAACCTTTATCACTGGGATATGTGCATAAAAACCTCCTTGGCTCCCACTCTGAAACTCAAAGCACAGCTGCCTTTCTGTTAATGCCAGGATGTTACCAACCCTTCTCAACTTGAATGCCCTTCCTCTACCCCAAAGGCTCCTTGACCCCTACAGAAGTCTGCCTCTTTCCCTAGATGTTTACGTTACTATTATTGCTCTCTTACTCAGGTGGATATGGCACGTGCTAGGTCCTCTTGTCCCTCATCCCTTCCCTGTTCTGTGAGTCAGATGCTCTCACCTTCCTGGCCCTGATCCCACCAGTCCAGCGCTACCTGGATTTCTCCAGAAGACTGAATGTCTGAAAGTAATCCTGACAATATTCTTTGAGTTGTTAAGTGAATCACCTGGCTTTCAACAACTTTCTTAAAAAGTAGCCTGTTTTAAAGGAACAGTGTGTGAGAAGTGTAGATAATTACATAGGTAAATTCCAGACATGAAGTGGAAGAAAATGCCTCCATTTATTTGGAAAACAGATTACTTGTAACTTTCCAACTACAAAAGGAAAAACAAGATTTTATGAATCTTGAAAAAAATTGTAAAGACCCCCAACAGAATTGATCTAACAAAAAGACTATGTCATGTTATTATATTTATTACAGCACTTGAACTAGAGTAGATGCTCAATAAATATTTGAGTTGAATTGAGTTATGCATTTGTATAAAAAGAATTCTGAGTAGAGAGTTATTTGATATATGCTTTCTCCTATATCAAATTTGTAGGTGAGTTTTCTGTGCTCCACAGGACACTGAAAACAGTAAAATTTTGTGACAGTGACTATAAATAAAATAGTGTCTATTTCTGCTGCAATATAGTGCAGGTTATTTTTGGGTAATTGTAAAGAATTGGATGATTTCCAAAGCCTTTTTGAGAGACATGGCAACATTAAAAAGACTAATGTAAAATCATAATATTTATAGTGTACCCACCTTCTAACAAATCTAAAACAAATGGAAATACTCAAAGGTCAAAATGACTTTCAGTGTGGTCCGTGGTTCTTTCAAAAAAGAATAGGGCAGGCCCTGATGGCCTGGTACGTTTATTAAGCTGTACCTTGGAAAAGATTCATACAATTTTATCTCCTTTTAGATTGCCTTACATAATTTCTGACAACAAAAGTAAATGCCATGGAATTAAAAACGATTTCATTGTTACACTGCATCACGAGGAGGCCTTCATCCTCCATGCATTGCATGCTCTTTTCCTTCCTAAATGATAGTGAGCTGCTTAGGATTCAGCAAATACCTTCAAATGGTCCACACGATCTTATCCACAGAGTGTGAGGATAAAGTGCCATAGAGCTAGCAGAGATAATACTCCTTGAGGAAAAGAAGCTTGGAAAGAAAGTACATGGCATTCTAGGTCCTAGATCAGGCAAGCAGGTATCTAAGAAACTGAAATCCACTGTCACATAATTATTGGAAATATTGATGAGTAAAATTCTGTCACCTGAAACGTAACGATGATAAGAAGTGTGAGAGTTCACTTGTAAGTTGTGAGCCTGCAAGTCGTATTTTACTTCTCTAGATCTCATTAGAAGTATGTAGTTCGCTATACTTCAGTACAGCAAACAACCATTTCTCTGGAATATGGTTAATAGTCATTAGAAACAGTAATTCTCAGTAACTCTCTGAACTTTAGTATAGCAACCATTTATCTGGAGTCTAGTTAATGCTCATTCAAAAACAAACACAGTTAAAACCAAAATGATTGTTAGTATGATGGCAGTCCAGAAAGCACTGACCACCTTGCATGGTCTTTGTCTTATCATAGTGGACACTGATTACCACTTACAGCAGTGAAGCTCTGGAAGGGGCAGAAAGCTGAGTGGTCAGACATTGCCATAATCCTCTAACTTATCCTGGAATTTGCCCAAAAAACTTGTCAGTTTGCTTCTATTATGTGGCTTTTATAAAAAAGAAAACATTGTATAAATGGTAGCTATTTGTGGTTCAGTTTGAATTATGATCATGCTTCCATTTACTGAAATAATATGGCCAATATTCAGAATAGAAGATTATGGTGATGATAGCTTACAATTTAAAACATAGCCATAGACTACACTGATGTGTATTAATGCCAATCATAAAGCTATACTCATCTCTGGAATTGTACTAAAAATAAAATAAAATAAATATAAACAGGACTAGATTGAAAGAGTCAAGGGCATTTATCCAGATAATTATGGTGAAATATTCGTGCTCAGCAACAAAAAAAAAAAAGCAAAAAAATAAAAGAAGTTAATTTTTCAGCTTGATTTTTCAAGGATTCTTTTCTCAGTTTGTTAACATATTAAACAATTCCCAACTTTTTGCTTCACATTGTCGTACCTAGTGGCACAGTCAGAAGCCTTTCCATTAAAAATTTTGGAAGCATTGCTATGCTGTCTTTTGGGTGAATACTGGTTAGGGCAAAACCACAAATGGCAGGTGTGTATTTCATGCAACTTCTGTCCCAGCAGAGCTTCCATCTTGCTTCCTTTCAGGGAGACTCTTCAGCAAATCCTCTGGAAACTGAAACTTATCCCAAACTGCACTCCTGTACATGTCATGGAAAACAGGGGAGGAAAAATGTTGTCCTGAGAAATGTTAGATGAATATTGTGATGAATCTCTGTAAAAATAGGACAATCTCTAAAAACTGGGGCAATTATGCAATAATTAGTAAAATAAACCTGAAATAACAGCAAAAACTTCCAGTGCCAACTTTCAGTAGGACA